CTGTCTTCTGTGGGAGGGGCCTGCTGCGCTGTTACTCAGGCAACCCTGTTTGGGCAGAGTTGCCCTGTGCCCCTGTGGTGGGGGATGGGCTCAGCGGGAATCAGTTTTTGGGGCTTTTGTTCTCTGGCGCCTTTCCCTGGCGGCTTTCCATGTCTCTCCCACGAGTCAGAGCAGAAGAGACTGTTTCCAACCCTCTGCCTCAGAGCAGAGAGATCGCAGTCTGTTCTTCAGTGTGCTCTCCAGGCCACACCGTCTCCGTTTCTGTCCGTGCTGCCATAAACTGCAGCGTCCTGGGTTGTGCGCCTCTCCGCAGCACTCTCAGTCCTGCCTCCAGGTCGGAGCATGTCTCTGCCCTTTGTGCTTCCAAAACCGCCAGCTGCTCCCAATTCGCGGGCGCGTGACCCCACCACTTCGGGTTTCCACCCCAGGAGCTGCAATTTGCAGGCGCGACCCCACCACTCCGGGTTTCCACCCCGGGAGCTGCCCTAAAGTCCTTTCCCCGCTGCTACTGGTCTGCGAGTCTGTGCTTGTCTGCATCGCGCGAGGCTGTCACTCACCGGCCGTGTAGGATCCCCACGGCCAGGCACCCTCCCGCTGCCGTTTATCCTCCGATATCTGCCTGTGGATTCACGGCTCCCCACTTCGTACCTCAAAACCAACTGCCTGCGATATTCTGTTTGTAGAGATCCAGATCTTCTTACATCTCCCGCTGGTTTTGTGGGTCCTCAGAGTGGTCTGGTAGATATCCAGCTCAATTCCGGGGACCAGTTGAAATAGGGTCCCCTACTCCTCTGCCATCTTTCCCCCCTCCTATGCTTAGATTATTAAGAAATAAAAAATACTTAGTGAATTAAGCAGGTGATCTCAGCTTCCTGCTTACGTTTTGTATGTGATAAAATTATAAGAGACTTTGAGAAAGAGAAGAAAATATAAGATTTCTAACCCTAAATTCAGATGTAAGATTAATCTTATAAGAACTCTGCTTTTTAAAAGCAGTTACTATTAAGGCCAGCATCTGTAGGAATGATTGTGTAGGGGAATATGGTGGTAGTGACAGCCAGCGATGATCTGGGTAGGAGTTGGCAAGCTTTTTCTGTGAAGAACCAGGTAGTAAATACTTTAGGCTTTATAGGCCATATGGTCTCTGATGTAACTACTAATCTCAGCTATTGGAGAATGAAAGTGGCTCTGGATAATATGTAAATGAATGGGTGTAGCTGTGTTCTAGTAAATATTTATATCAACAGACAATGAGCTGGCCCATAGTTTATTCATCCCCTGATCTAGGTTAAGGAAGTTTGTCAGAGACTGAGTGGTTTTGAATGCAAAAACTACAGAATTAAAAAATAAATCCTCAATTATGAGATTTTGTTTTTCTTTATTGTCAATAGGTGAACATTATACCAGTGATTGCCAAAGCAGATGCAATTTCTAAAGCTGAATTACAGAAGTTTAAGATCAAGCTCATGAGTGAATTGGTTAGCAACGGTGTTCAGATATATCAGTTTCCAACAGACGATGAAACTATTGCTAAAATCAATGCTTCAATGAATGTAAGCTCTTAGTTGAATGTTAATTCTGTTTACATGTGAAAAGAGTAACTTGTAAGTGACATTCCTACTAACACTTTAACTTGTGTCTTCTAAAAAGACTTCACACAAGGTGAATTTTCAGAAAGTTCAGTATAGGAAAATGTGTTATTTTCTAGAGTTGGAAAAAATACATGAGAATATATTTTTGAGCATATTTTCTTTCCTCTACTTTCACCTAAATAAAATGATACATTGGTGAGGCTGGGATACTCCTTTTGTGGCACCATACTTACTAATTGCCTTAGAAAGATACCTTTTATCCTGTCTTTAAAAAACATGTGAAGTCTTTATATTCTCCCTCGGAATGCTTTGGAATCTTAAAGTCCTTAAGGATATCTTTCTAATCTGATATTTAAGCTCAGTGTCCCTTATAGTGTCACACGTACATATTAAACATTCACATAACTTTTCATTTAATACGACTAAAGATGGCTAAGTTCTTTGTGATACTTTCTTCAGGCTACTAAATTTCTTAAATATCTGGTTATATTTTGAAGGGTCATTGGTTTTGACTTAACTGTATGTTCTTGTGGGAGATATTAACCTCCCTGAGACTGTTAACTTACCTACAAAATTGGGTTAATACGTACAATTGGGTTGTTGTGAGGATATAGTCTTTGTTCACTGCCCAACACAGTGATATTCAGTAACCGTTCATGCCATGTCTCCTTTTCCTTTTCTGATTTTTCATTAAGATACTTTAAATTAAAAAAGCTGACTAATGTAAATGAAGTGATCTCAATACCTATGTGTTATATTGTCTTTAGATCTAATTTTATTTTTTGTGCGCACTTGGAATAATTTTTCAGAAGGGGACAATTAAGACACCAAATGTCAATTATTAAATATTAAATATAATAATTAAAACTTTTACATTAGACTTTTCTCCTATATTAATCCTCAGCTTCAGACAGACCAGTCTACTCACTGTTCTCTACATCTAGCTATTATGTATTTGTTCAAAATCTTCTCCTTACCTAAGTTAGTTCTTACTCTCCTTGATCCATCTCTGGTTTGGGTTATATCTTTCTGCTCACAGTGATCCCTTACTCCTCTAAGTTTATGTAACATTTACTATCTTTAGCACTAGTTTGGGACTTAAATATTACTTTGTATTAGTATCATATATCTGTGCACACACTAAATATAGATATATATTTTAGTTATTTATTTTGTGTGTGTGTGTGTATGTGTGTAATTTCCTCAACATTATTTTTGCCTTTTAGGGCAAAAATTCTATACTAGAATTTTTTTTATTCTTATAGCATGATACCTTGCATGTGGGGGATGCTCAGTGAATAATTTTCTTTACAGAGCCTGAAATTTACTTTTATAGAACAGTTGGCACATATTCACTGCCAAGTTTTAAAATTGGAGGTATAGGGGCACCTGGGTGGCTCAGTTGGGTAAGCATCTGCCTTCAGCTCAGGTCATGATCCCAGGGTCATGGGATCGAATCCTGCGTCAGGCTCCTTGCTTAACAGGGAGCCTGCAGCTCCCCCTACTTGTGCTTTCTCTCTCTGACAAATAGATAAGTAAAATCTTAAAAAAATAAAATAATTTTAAAATAAATAAAATCAGAGGCATAGCAGATCATGTGATTTTAATAACTCTGTTATTTAGTAAATTTTCTCTAATCTGTTATTTTCATAAAACTTTTTTAGTTGGTCATTTATCACAATAGCGTGAGATATGATTTGATATCATGGTTCCCTTCCAGGGACATTTGCCGTTTGCTGTTGTAGGAAGTATGGATGAGGTAAAAGTTGGAAATAAGATGGTCAAAGCTCGCCAGTACCCTTGGGGTGTTGTACAAGGTAAATGAGATAAATGATGACTAGGAATATGTTTGTCACCTAACAGTCTGAAAGTTGCATTCAGTGCATTCTCTGAGTTGATGCTTATTTTGGGTTATGATTTGGTTATCAGAAGAGTGGAATGTGTTCTGTTTTGGCCAAGTATGTGGAGGCTGGGCAGAGTGTCCCCATTTTCTCCATTATACCACACACATTTTGTGCCTGGTATGCCAAGACATTCAGAAAGTGGAAAGCACTAGTCAGAACAGAATTTGAGTATAAATACTAGTGTTTAGACATGATATATAAATTAATTACTAGGTAATTCTAGGTACAATAAACCATCTTGTACATTTACGTATTTCTAATCACCAAAGTATCGCCAACTGTTTCCAAAACAAACTAGCCAGCCAATTAAAAAATTTTAGGATTAATGTAGCATTGTAATGAATAAGTAATTAGTACTATCTGGTTCATTCACTTACTTGTGCTTTTATTACTGGGGAATGGATTCCCTACTAGTACTGGTTTCCCAATACTGCTGCTTTTTTAAATTGACAGATTTGTAGTTAATAAAAAATATTAACAAAACTTAACATTTTTAATATATAAAAAATACAAAAATAGTAATTGTACTTAAAACTGTTGGTTACAGTTACACAATTATTTGTAGTCTTTTGGTTACCATAACCCTAGAAGAAGGGCTATGTAAGGAGAACTAAGTGTATTTATTCACTAATCTTGAATGGTGTCAAACACAGCATCATAAATGTGGCATTGTATAGAAAGAATTTGATAATTATAGCATGTACAGATGGCATCTTGAGTATGCAGAATTACTACTTTGAAGTTTTAGTAAAACAATGTTACAGACTCTTTTTAAGCACTTTGTAAAATGTCCTAAGGATGGTTTGTAAACTGCCAACAAAATATTTGTGAAATAACTGGAGCATATGGTAACATAATATAATGTATTTCTTTCCTGTTTATCGATTGCCTACTAAATTTAAAGCAATTTCCCAGTCTGTTAATTTAAGTTGCCTATAATTCAGTGTGTATAATGCAAGAGTTTCTTCCTTGGTTACTTATATAAAACAATCATAGGTATTAGGCTGATTATTTCACTGTTAATTTCGGATGTGTTTTTATAGATTCTTTCATTCAACAAATACCGTGTGTCAGGAATTAAAAATTGGTATTGCTATTTTCTTGTTTTTCTGGCTAGTGGAAAATGAAAATCACTGTGACTTTGTAAAGCTCCGGGAAATGCTCATTTGTACAAACATGGAAGATCTGCGAGAACAGACCCACACTAGGC